GAATATAATTTCAAAAAAAAAAAATATTTGACAGCCATTGGCTATCGATTAAACTGGTTTAATCGACAGATAATAACTGTCGAATATAATCCCAAAAAAAAATAAAAAACATATTCGACAACCAATGGCTGTCAAATATAAGCTGCTAAAATTATAAATCTGGCTACAAAATTCTGTCGATAATAATTATATTCGACAGTAAGTATTTGTCAATTTAACTAGTATATTCGACAAAGAAAATTTTTGTCGAATATACTGATTATCGACTGCATTTTATACGACATCTTTTTTTGTCGAATATGTCTATCGATTAAAACATAATCGACAAAAATTTCTATATATTCGACAGAAAATTCTGTCGAATATACTGCGCTTTCTAGTAGTATAACTTTTGTTTTTTAGTTTTTATTAAAATAATATAGTTTTTTTGCCTGTTAAAGTACCATTTTGGTCCCTTAACTTTTCACTTTAGCACCAAAAATGTCCCTCAATTTTAAAAAGTACCAAAATTATCTTTAAACTTTCATTTTCAATACCAAAATGGTCCTTCCGTCAGTTAAATACACATGTGGCACGTTAAGATGCCACAAAATCATTGGCTTTTTAAAATTTTGATGACATGTATATTCAACAAAGAAAATATTGTTTACCGTGGCATTTTTTTTACACGTCAGATTGTCATCTTCTCAGTTTCTCTTTTAGTGGGCCCACATAAAAATTTTGTTTTCTCTTTTTCCAGTTTCAATCAAGTTCCCCAAAAATCACAGTTCAATTATCTTCGTTTCTTTTCGTTTCTTTTCATTTCCTTTTCAAATTCAAAGCCCTAAACCTACTACTACTCCTGCAAAATTAAAATCAAACTCAGATCATCTTTCTGTTTTCTTCTTCTTGTTCTTTCTCTCTCTCTCTCTCTTCTCCCTTCTTCCTCCCCAGATCTAGGTTTCAAACCCAGATCTGGGTTTTCTCAAGTTTGCTGAACCACCGCATGCCTACCAGACCCATTGATTCTTATTCTTTCTCTCTCTCTCTCTCTTCTCCCTTCTTCCTCTCTAATTCTGGGTTTCAAACCCAGATTTGGGTTTTCTCAAGCTTGCTGAACCACCGCACGCCTGTTGGACCCATTGATTCTTGAAAGAAAGGGATAGAGAGGAGAAAGGCTTTTTACTCTCTTAGATCTAACTTTTTGATTCCTCTTTTCTTGATTCAAGAATACCGCTGCATTTTCTGGTCCAATCACGTGCATTTTCTGGTGAAAGAATATCGCTGCTGCAACGAATTCTTCATGAGCGGCGAATTTGAAGATCGACTCCGAGACGAACCTTCCTTCTTCGACAGCTTCCACTTCTCATCGAAATAGAAGTTCGACTGTGCGGTTGCAATTGTAGCCAGCACGGTAGCCATGTAATCGATTCTCAGGGTAAAAAATGGAAAACGGACTCGAAGCAAAGAGCAAAAAACCTGAACAGAACTGAACAGAACAGAGGGGTATTGAGTTGTTAAGCTGAATTCACTGAAGAGGCTGGAGAGTGAGGGTGGGTTTGAGGTAATATTTGATTTTAATTTCGCAGAAGTAGTAGGTTTAAGGTTTTGAATCTGAAAAGGAAATGAAAAAGAGAAACAAAGAAAACTATCTTTGGGGAACTTGATTGAAATTGGAAAAGGGAAAACAAAATTTTTATGTGGGCCCCACTAAAAGAGAAACTGAGAAGATGACAATCTGACGTGTAAAAAAAATGCCACGGTGAATAATATTTTCTTTGTTGGATATACATGTCATCAAAATTTTAAAAAGCCAATGATTTTGTGGCATCTTAACGTGTCACATGTGTATTTAACTGACGGAATGACCATTTTGGTATCGAAAATAAAAGTTTAAGGATAATTTTAATACTTTTTAAAATTGAGGGACATTTTTTGTGCTAAAGTGAAAAGTTGAGGGACCAAAATGGTACTTTAACCTTTTTTTGCCTGATTTTTTTCAATATATATAAATTGATATTCATTAATCTATTAAGATATATCATTAAATAAGTAGATATATATCATTAAATAAAAATATAGTTATAATATTACATAAAATTATAAATTTATTATCATGATATATAACAAAATAATATTGTCTAAGGAAACATAATAATGAGTAACTATTGAGTAATAATTATTACTTTTATCTTAAAAAAGAAAAAGTTAACTTTTATTTTAATTGTAAATATCACGTGTTAATTTTATGTTGATTCATTTTAAATCGAAACCTAGAATTTTCCTTTTTAATTTAGAATTGAAAATTTTTTTAGCATAAATTAAAAGTGTATTTATTATACTTATTCACCATTAATTTAAATGAAAAGAATAAAAATTGATTTTAATTTTATTAACTATTCAATTAAATTATTTTGCTTAATATTAATGTTGAAAATAAAATTTACTTTTATAATT